TCTGAGTTCCCAGCCTTCAGCCCATGTACAGAGATAATGTCATTGGGCCCATGGTAGTACCGTAGCCACTAATTAAATCTTAAACTTCTTCTCTCACTGTCCTCAGCTGGATGGAGGCCAGCATTGTCTATCCGTGGGAGTTCTTAACTCTCTGGGGGAAAATCGTTGGCCGTTTCTCTCACTGGGCAGAATCGCTGGCTGTGTCTTCTGTATAGTGAAAATTACTGGCTGCATCTCAATTGCCGAGCCTTTTCTCTCCAGGGGCAAAACTGTTGCCTGCACATCTCTGAAGGAGAGTTGCCATCTGCCTTGCTCTGTGGGAAAATTGCCAGTTGAGTCCCCATAATAGCCAACCATGTCTCCAAACAAAAAAGTGTGGTCCTTCTTCGTAGTAGAAGCATCAGTAGAAGTGAGCAATTTAAAACCCTGTGCGTGGTTCCTTTTCATCAGGAACAAACTTTCCCCTCCCTGGCCTTGTTTCCTGTCCTCTCCCTCTCATCTGCCTGAGTGGTCAGAGGCAGGGTGGTGGTGACATTGTTCAGCACCAAATGGAAGACACTTGGACCAAGAAGTTCTTCAAGTGGTAGTCCAGAGACAAGCTATGGTGTCTCGGTGTCACAGCCCAGGTCGGAGACCTAGACATCGATTTACAACTGGTAGCTCTTAAGATCTGGCCCCACCTCAGGCTCTGGGACTTGTTTCATACCAAGGTTGCCTTAAACACCACCCACCTGTGCCTGGCTGCTGCCTTCCCTGTTATGCTGGGTGGGGGCGCAGTGCTAAGTGCCTGGCATGGAAGAACTTATCTGTCCCACCACCACCCAAAAGGTAGGAACTCCTCTGACAGGCAAGGAAAAGGAAGCTTGGAAGGAATCAAGCCACATGTCCAAGGCTTCATAGCTCATAAGCAACAAAGTGGGAATTCAACCAGGCATGCTAGGCTCAGAGCCAGCTGTCCTCTGAACCATTGTACCTTAGGCCAGTGGTCGGCAAACCTTGGCTCTGTTGACTGATTTTGCTGACCACTGCCTTAGGCTATGGAGTGTGTGAGGCCCTCAGAGTCAGCTGTGCAGGCATGAATTTCTGTGCAGTGTCCAGTGTGAGGTGGAGAAGGGAACCTCCCCCAGAAACAGCCTTTCCTATGGGTTCCCTCTATCCTTTCTTCTCCTGTCCCACAGCCCAACAACAGGCACATGGCATGTTTCCTGTTCTCCTCCCCTTCCCCATTGCTCCTAAAATCTCATATTATACTGTACATACAGCATGGATATGCTCAGCAAAGAGATGATTCACATCCTGGATGGGGTGAGTCAGCACAAAATTTCATCTCCTACTCAGAATGGTGCACAAGTCAAAACTTACAAATTGTTCATTTCTGGGATTAACAGTTGTTTCTCATTGTTATGTAGTTTTGGCTTTAGGTTTCTCTAAAGTCAGCAGTTTTCTTCCTGACACTTCCTTTCTCTTATTTGTGATTTCCTCTCTTTCCCTGGATTCTGGGACTTTATTCATCCCAGCAGTCATCGGAGCTCTCTCGGGTGCATAGCCCACGCCAGCACCCTGAAGGATAGCATCAAACACAGCATACCTCCTTTTCTGTAGAGTCGTATTCAGATTTGCACATGTTATAACACAAAACACTGTCTGCTCGGGACACTAATTGCGGTATTCCCCCTCATCCTCGGTTTTGCTTTCCATGGTTTCGGTTACCCACACTAAACTACAGTCCTAAAATATTAAATGGAAAACATCACATGATCTCACTCATTTGTGGAATAGAATAAACAATATAAACTATAAACTTATGAACAAAAATAGAGTTGTTGCAACAACTCAATTCTGACTTTGTAAGCAGCACAGACAATATGTGAACAGATGAGCATGTATTTCAATAAGTCTGTTTATGAACACTGAAATTTAAATTTCACCTAATTTTTATGTCACAAAACAGTATTCTTCTTTTGATTTTTGTTCAATCATTTGAAAATGTATTATACCAACCTCATCGCAAAGGGCCAAAACAATCTCGAGGAAAAAAACAATGTTAGAGGAATCATGTTACCTGTCATCAAACTATATTACAAAACCTCTCTTTGCCTTAGTGTTCCATATCTATAAAATAAGGAATCATCAATCCCACTTCATAGTATTGTTATAAGGATTAAATGAGCTAAAGCATGTAAAATACAGGGCCTAGGATATACTACGCTTCCTATAGACAGTAATTATTAGCACTATTAACTGTTAGAATTCATGAAGTTGATATTAAACCTTGGGTAGGCATAGATGTGTCATGAACTGCAAAATACTGTGATGCCGTGTTATCTATATCCTGTCCCACATACATAATTAGTGATTAGTTGGTTAAAGAATTGTCTTTTTATTTCACCTCCATATTCTAGGGATATCATTTTGTGGCTTTCTAATGTTGCTACATTGGGCCCCAATATACCAGATGTTTGAAGGACAGATTCCTTATAAAGAGTTCACAGTCCCAAATTCTCAAGCTTCCCAATAAATGAAATATGATTGACCAATACAGAGGAATGCAAGCTACTGTTGATAAAAATATCAACTTTATTGAAAACCTACTATGTGCCAAGCATATGAGTCACACACGTCTCCTTTCTGCAGCTGGGAAAACTGGAGCTCAGGTAGTAAAGAAAAAGTCAACCACTGGTAAGTTACAGAGGCAGGGACAGACAGAGGACTCCAGAGCAGTTTAAGCCCTTCCCACCTACTGCCTCAAACTGTCCCTTCGCTAAATCAGGTGACCAAGCCTCAAGGCTCCCATCCCCTCTGTTAAGATGTGTGAGTGTTTTGCATGGGGTGTGGTGGTTGTATCTAAGTCTCCAGTCCTAGTGAGATTGCTTTATATGGAAACTGATGTGAAAATGTAGTTCTCAACAATGAGGGTACCCGTCAGAATCCAGGGAGGAGTCTTCATGAATGCTTGCTATAACTATAATTTCAGAGACCATAATAAGCTCCTGCTTTTCTGTTTTAATGGTTTTTTATCTCAAGTTCAATTCTGATTGATCAATTGTTTTGTTGTTCTCTTAAATGGTTCTGAGAAAAGAAGTAATTTTGGTTTGGCTGGTGAGTTGATTTAGCAAGGCTTGAAAGAGAGCTTGATATTCTTAGGTTTTCTATCTGGAATTTGATGGTACTGTGAGTGCATGGAGTGAGCAGGAAAGAGGAAGCTTTGGAGGACAAGTTAACTCAGTCACTTGCAGGCTGCTGTTTGTATTACAATTTTAGGCTGAACCAAACACTTATAAAGTAGGCCATACACAGTCACCATTATTGGGGGTCCAAAATGAGTATTTGCAAAGATGTGTAGCTTGAAATCATATATGCTAAGCACTTAGAAGGCAAAGAATTCATTAATTTAGCTGGCTTTGGTTCCAATCAAGCAACAAATATTTATTGAACATTTGTGTGTAAAACTGTCATACAAAGACAAGAAAAACCAAAATCCTGCCTTTAAGTTCACATCCTAGTTGTGGTAAGACAAATCTATGGATTATTAAATATTCAGGTGAGAGTCCCTGAGCACATGCTAGATGAATGAGCCAGACCAAGTATGATAGGGCTTCAGAGAAAGATCATTTGGGCTAAAATAATATGTTAAAAAAAAATGAGGCATTTGAATCAGCAGAGTTTAGAAATGGGATAACAAGATACATTCAATTTGAACCAGAGAAGTTCAAAATCAAGGTAAAAGACAAGGTAATACAGCTTACAACAGGCTCAATATCAAACTGTAGAGCTGTCTTTATTACTGTAAGTGGAAATTAGCAAAAGCAATAAAGGCATGGTAAGTCCCTGGCTGGGTATCGGAACAAACGAACTACATACAGAGCGAGGCAAAAGTAGGTCTCGGTTTATTCTTGTTTTTTTGTGTAGGTTGTTGTTTTTTAAGTCTCTCCCCATGACATGCTTGGAAAGAGAGAAACACTGATCGCTTGCCTTCCAAGTGTGCCCTGACCCAAACCCACAACCTTTCAGTGCACAGGATAATGCTCAACCAATTGAAGCCCCTCCAGGCAGGCTATTCTTACTTATTTATGTATTATTGTATTTTTCATACAAACAACTGTAAACCTACTTTTGCCCCATCCTATATAGGAAGGACATTGTAGCCACAGTTTAGTAACTTGCCCAAGCTCACAAAGTCCCATTATTAAACACCACAATCCAGGAAATGTAAAAAACATATGTCCATACAAAAACTTGTACACGAATGTTCATAATAGCCAAGAGATAAAAAAAAAAAAAAAAAAAAAAAAAAAACAACCTAAATGTCTATAAACAAATGAACTGGTAAAGAGAATGTGGTATGTCCACACAGTAGAATATTATCTAGTTGTTAATAGGATTGACGTAATGATGATAGCTATAGCCTGGCTGAACCTTGAAAACATGATGCTAAATAAAATAAATCAGACACAAAGGACCATACATTCTATGGTTCCATTGATAGGTGATTTCATAGAACCAGAAAATAGATTAGTGGTGGCCTAGAGGTGGGGAATGGGGAGTAACTGCTAGTGGGTATGTTTGCTTGTTTTGAGAGGGTAAAGGAAAATGTTCTAAATTTAGATTGGGGTGATGGTTTCGTGATTATGCAGAAAACCACTGAACTGTAACCTTTAAATGAGTAAATTTTATGGTGATACAAATTATATCTTGAAAAGGCAGTAAAAATTTTTGTATTTAAGCATCCATGATCACTCCAGGTTTTGGTATGTACAGTGGCACCAGAAACAAGAGGGAATGTGAAACAGAGTTAGGTGCATAGACCTGGAGCTCGGAAATGGTCAAAGCTAGATGAATGGATGGGACAGGCCCCATGCCAGTCCTCCCATCAGAAGGAAAATACAGAGACCAGTGACAGTTTTTTCTGCTGCCAAGGAGCTGACAGTTCTGTTATCAATGGACTCTAACCTGTTGGTAAGAATGCACTAAATTCGTCTTCTTTTGCTTTTGTTTGGAAGTTTTTGAGGAGCCAGAAGATCCGAGCAACAGGTCGTTTTTCTCCGAAATTATCTCTTCAATTTCGGATGTGAAGTTCAGCCACAGCGGGAGGTACATCATGACCAGGGACTATCTGACCGTTAAAGTCTGGGACCTCAACATGGAAAACCGCCCCATCGAGACTTACCAGGTACAGACTACCCTCCCCCCATGTGAGTATCACATGCTTCCTTTGTGAGCTTCCAAGTCAGCCTTTGCCCGCAAAGGCTGACCACAGCACAGAAAAATTAGAATGGTATATCCCGTAGGAACCACAGGGCTTAAGAAGAGGTGCATATAGAGGGGCTAAAACTTAATCCCTATCTACTGAGCACTTGCTGTGTGGTGGATACCATTGATTCAGATGTGGTCCTGCTCTCTTGGCAGTCTGGTGGAGAAGTGAGATGACAAACAGGGAGCTGAGTGTACGTGAGGAAAGAGATGATACTGAGTGCCAGGGGAGATCATGCAGGGAGGACCGCCTGCTGAGAGAGGTTCTCCTGGAATCAAGGGAAGCCTGGTGTGTTCAGAAAGGAGCTCTCTATGTCCTGAACATGGACACAGAAGCAGAAAGAAGAGCTTGAATATAATACATAGGCTCTGGTCAAGTAGATTAGGTTATTTTGTCTTCAGTCTGGGTTCAATGGAGAGCCATTAAAAAGTCTTACATGGGAAATGCCACTGTGAAATGTGTTTCATGGTGCAACTTGCCAAACAGATTGAAGGAATCTAGGGAGGAGGCCATGGTGGAGAAGGTGGGAGGATGGAGAGTCTGTGAGGTTTGCTGTTGGGTGTGGAGGGAAGAGGAATCAGGAAGACTGTGCGTGGTTTGTAGACTTGCAGACAAAAAAGGAGAAGGTATTGTTTAGAATGGTTAGCTGTTAGTTTTTTTTAAAGAGGAAGACCAGACTTTGAGGTAGATAGGATTTATAGAAGCTAATTCCAGGCAAGAGTACAATGGAAGCAATAGTCAAGAGGCAGGAATAAACTAGTCTTATTTTAAAGATTTCTTGGGTTAGATAAAAAGAAGTGAGGAAATTCTAGACAGAGAAATTTGGTTTACATATTTCTTCTTGAGATATAATGCATTATCATGCCATAATATTCACTCTTTCATAGTGTACAGAGAGGTTTGGTCTGTGCCCAAAGTTGTGGGACTAACATTTTAAAATAAATATTCTGGTTGTGCTGGGGAGGAGACAGAGAGAATAGGTATGAAGTTACTGCAATATTCTGGCAAGGGGTGTTAGTAGCTTAGATGACAGTATTAGTGATGGAGGTGGCCAGAGTCTTGGTATACTAGTATATCCAAGATAAAACCAGTAGAATGGGATGTAAAAGAAAAAGAAGCACTAAGGATCATCACTAGTGTGTGACCTTTATGCTAAGCAAAGTGCCGTTTCCATTTTATTTGGATGGGAAGTCAAGAGTTTGGCTTTGGACATTTTTAATTGGCTCAACATCCAGAAATAGCAAGTAGACAATTCAGTAAGAGTCTGGACATATCTTGCCTAGAGAAAAACATTGAACACTCCTGAGGGTACATAAAGCCCTAGGAAATGCATTTAATTAGAGAAGAGGTTGGGTATAAAAAGTCGATTTTGCAAGAGAGCTTGGGAAGAAGTGGCCAGGCAGATAGGAGGAAAACAGGGGAATATCAGCCAAGTGCAGAAATGGTCCCAAGGAGGAGGGAGTCATCAACTGCTGAATCAAGTAAGGACAGAGACTTGACCCTTGGACTTAGTGATGCAGAGATTCTCAGGAACCTCTGTGAAAGAGGTGTAGGTGGGTGATGAATGTCTGATTGGAGTGGGTTCAGGACAGACTCTGAATAGAGGACGTGGACATAGTGAATACAGATAACTCAAGAAATTTTATTCTGAAGGGAAACAGAAACATGGGATACAGGCTTAAAGAAGTTTTGTGCCAATAAGGAGAAGCCAATGGAGAGGGAGACAGCTAAAGGAACAAAGTCCTTAAGGGAAGAGAGGCCATTGCAGAATTGGCCTTAGAGGGGAAGATGGTCAATTCATCTATCAAAGAAAGAAAAATGCAGTTTGTAAGTTATGTAATGGGACTGTAGACAGTTTCTTATTATGTCGATTTTCTCAAAGTGCTCATGAAAGAGAGTGAATTGACTAGGGCAGTGGTCGGTAAACTGCGGCTCTCAGTTTAACAACAAAACAAACTCGCGAGTTGCAGTTTGCTGCTCTGTTGACTAATGAGTTTGCTGACAACTAATTATAGGATGTTGTTATTCCTTGTGATTAAGCCAGTAAGAACCTGGATTTATATCAAAACCAGTTTGCCGACCACTGGACTAGCGAAATGGAGGGTTTCTCAGGGATCTACTTGAGGTTTATATTATTTTCAGTGAGGTTACCTGTAGGATTGTGTGTTTCTTCCAAACCACATTCACCTGCTTGGTACAGGTAGGGAAGAGCAGGAAGTTAGATTTAACTAATGATGGGGTTTTTGGCAAAATGAGTACAGTGGAGAGAAAAAGAAAAGTAGGTTTGTTGAAGGTATATAGTAAGAGAGTGATTATGATGATGAACCACTGAATCAAAAGCAAATAAGACCGGGACCAGTTTGACTCAGTGGATAGAGCGTCGGCCTGTGGACTGAAAGGTCCCCGGTTCAATTCTGATCAAGGGCATGTACCTTGGTTGCGGGCACATCCCCAGTGGGGACTGTGCAAGAGGCAGCTGGTCGGTGTTTCTCTCTCATCGACGTTTCTAACTCTCTGTCCTTCTCAATTCCTCTCTGTGTAAAATCAATAATATATATATATATATATATATATATATATATATATATATATATATATATATATATATATATATATATTGCAGATAAGGAGGAAAATAGGTCAAATCAGGAAGTAGCAATAGACCAATACTTGTTAACAGGATACAGTTATAGGAATGGCCAAGGAAACAAAGGAGAAAACTCATTGAAAATGATTAGGCAGACGAGAATATTTGAATCACTAAAGAATGATGGCAGGAATAGTGATGAAAGAGGGGCTCAGGGAACTTTTGGGGACTGTAAAGAGGATGTGTACCAGGGAGTTGAGTTTGCCGACATGGCTTCCAGGAGCTGAGGACTCTAGGCAGTAACAATTGTCTGGAGCACCAACAAGCCCACTCTGTCCCAGGAGAACAAAAGTCCTGCCACCACGTGAGCAGCCTTACGAAAAGCAGATCTTTCCATGAGAAGGAGGACAAGTTCAGAGAGGAGGTTGAAGATCCCCAGGACTTTAACAATTGACTGAGTTCCAGAGGGTGTTGTAAATAGGTCTAGGTAAGGTGACCAGGCGTCCCGCTTTTGGTGGGACAGTTCCAATTTTTAACAATTTGTCCCGCGGCGTTTTAAAAAGTCCCGATTTTTTCTGGTCACCTTAGTCTGGGGGCCAGAATTCAAGACCACATATGGAGTTGAGATAATTTGTTTGCCCCTGTGGTTCAAAGAGCGTCCCCTTGTATATTGGGGATCTTATTGTCCCCCAAAGCATACCCCAGAGTTAAAGGTCCAACTCCACAGCACCTGCCCAAGCTCTCACTCACAGTCCTCCATCTTCAGTCCATAGGTGTCCTCTTCCAGCTGCACAGACAAACCATCTAGTGTTTCAAACATTAACACAAAAAAGAAGGCAGCGGGAATTGGAACCTGAGTATGTATGGGTGGTATTGACAGAGCCTTGAGAGAAGTAGATTCAGGTGACACAGTGGTGAGAGCAGTTAGTACTATCATTTTAGGGAAAGGCTTTTAGTGCACAGTTAGCTATCAGTGACATGGAATAATCAGCATTTTAAGATCATGGTTTTCAAAGCATGTTTAGCTAGTGGTAGACTTGGAGATCTACTTTATAGAGCACTAAGAAATCAGTATTTTAGCACATGTATTCAAATGAAATATCACTACATTTATATACTATATCAAAGATGGTAAATAAATGCTGATTAAGTGAGTATCTAGAACACTATTGAAAAAAGATTGTGAGGCCTGCTCCAATGAGAAAGAATCCCACAATCAATTACTAAGGCTTGCCCTGAGCTGTAGACGTAAATATGATGAGCTATTTTCAGAGTTTCCTATAGAAGAAGGAATGGCAACTTGTGGGCCAAATCCAGCCCTGCCTCTGTTTATAAAAATAAAGTTTTATTGAAACACAGCCACACCCAATCATTTTGCATATTGTCTATGGCTGCTTTCATACTACAATGGCAAAGTTGTGACAGAGGCCATGTGGCCCACAAAACCCAAAATATTTACTCTCTGACCCTTTCCTGGAAAAATATGTCAACTCCTGAAATATAAGAACAAACCAATAAAGTCTGCACTTGGAAGGCCTCATGAGCAGACCATTAACTACCAACATCAGATTTCCACAAATACATAATTGAGAACCACTGGTTTGTAAGACTCACTGTCAAAAAGGTCAAACACAATCGAATAAAGAGAAGCATCAAATAAGATGAGTTTTAAGTTATCTCTTGCTCTGTTTCTCATGTGTGTATCTTACCTTATTCTTGCCTCTCATGGAGAAAGATGCATCTTGTTTGCCTAAGATTTTTAACAACATAACATAAATGTAACGTACCTTCACAATAGCTCTTCTTTTCCTTCAGATGCCTTCGATTGGAGGTGGGGAGAAGAAAATACTAGTACTAGTTCAGACAAGTTTTTCCCTGGATTCTTCCTGACTTTTATCCTTCAGGAATTACTTATGGATAGTCACAGGGATGTAAAGGACAGCATAGGAAACACAGTCAGGAATCCTACATAATAAAAGCCTAATATGCTAAGTGCCCAGTAGGCCAGTTAGCTGTTCAACCAATCAAAGCATAATATGCTAATGATATGCTAAGGTTGCTCACTATGACATGCACTGACCACAAGGGGGCAGACTCTCCAACTGGTACATTAGATTGCTGCTGGGGTCTGGCAGATCAGACTGAGCAAGATGGGCCAGCCAAGCCATGGAGCCCTCCCATGATCCCTCCCTAGCTGGCCAACCTCCCACATCCCTCCCCAGCCCCAATCATGCACCAGTAGGGTCCCTTGACCTGGCAATTTGGGATTCCTTGGAGAGCTGGTTTCAGCCCAACCACAGAATGACTGGTAGCTATGATGCGCACTGACCCACCAGGGGGCAGATGCTCAATGCAGGATCTGCCCCTTGGGGGTCAGTGCTTTCCCACAAGGGGAGCTCCACTCAACCAGAATCCAGGCTCACAGCTGCCAAGTGCAGCAGCAGTGGCAGGAGCCTCTCCCGCCTCCGCAGCAGTCGGACATCCCCCAAGGGTTACTGCACTGTGAGAGGGCGCAGGCCAGGCTGAGGGACCTTCCCCATTCTCCCCTCCCCTCCCCCCACGAATGCACAAATTTCATGCACTGGGCCTCTCATACATTGTAATAACTATGAGTGGTGTCATACATTGTAATAACTATGAGTGGTGTCAAATGAGTATTAGACTTATTGGGGTGATCATTTAATAAGGCATAGAAATGTCTAATCACTGTCGTACACCTAAAACTAATATAATATTGCATGTCAACTTTAATGGAAAAGTAAATTTTTAAAATGATTTATAGAGTTCTTGGTGGTGTAGTTCCCACTAATGGGCCCATACTTCCAAAGCACACACCTTCTGATACTTATTACTCACCTGGGGTGTTTCTATAAGCAAGTGCCATCAAGGAGAGGACAGCCTGGGTCAGACCTGAAAAGGCATACCACTGTCCTATTTATAAACCTTACTGCTCTATCCCCTCTCTACCTATCAAAGTCCTAATTATGTTAAAAACAATAATTGATACTTCTCCTACCAAAAGAAGAAAGTTGGATGATCGTAGTGAAACAAAAGAATATTCTATCCCCTTCTTATAATTTTACAATTTCTTTAGCCAATGTGGTACTCTGAGAAGTGCTGCATTATACAAACCTGCTTAACCAAGGGTTTGCAAAACTTATTTCCCTTTCTTAGAATACCACTCACATCTGTGCCTTGCCTTAAAATTGCTCCACACCAGAGAAGAGGAAGGAGGAGAGGGAGAGAGAGAGGATCTGTTTTGCTCATCTTTTCCCTCCAACGGTAGGGGAGCTGGAGCACCGGGATAAGAAATTTGGCTCCTATTGCCCCCTGGATTCACTCCCAGCCCAACTCCTCTCCCTCTCCCCCACTCATTACACACAGCCCAGAGACAAGTCAGTGATAAAGGCCAGAATCAACACTTTCTAGAAATGAGACCATTGCTGAGTCCCTTAACTCCACCATCACCTTCTTCATTGAAAGTAGTCTCTGGTGCTTTGAGGTAATGGGGAGAACAGTCAAGACATGGGGTAAACAGAAGTATGGCCCAGAAGCCAATCCTGTCAGCCACCTGTTATAAAGTTTTACTGGAACACTCCCCTGCACATTTGTTTATGTATTGCCTAACGCTACTTTGGCATTACAGGGGCAGAGCTGAGTTATTGCAACAGAGGCCATGTGGCCCTTTATATTATAAAAAGTTTGCCAACCCTGGTCAATACCTAGAATCAGACCTCTTTTGCCCTCAGGTGCTCTTCTGGTTTTAAGCTCAAAAATTTTTAACAATCAAAGATTTTCACCCCTACAAGCAGAAATGGCCTCCTGAGCCATTTCCAATATGCCCAGACGGTGGCAGAAAGGAAGAGAATGAGTTAATTTGCAGCAGAGATACCAAGTACAGAACATAAGCCTCATTCCTGCACCTGCCTTCCCCACCCACAGCCCTGAAACAGACACCTGGCAAGGCCCAGAACCTTGGGGGAACAACAGAGCCACGGTGGAGGAAATTGATTTGCAGTTAGCAGTACACTGTCCAATGACTCAGAGCTTGCACATACCCAAAACGTGTAAGGCCACATGGGATGAATCTTACCTCAGTCTTCTGTCCAGTACTCCGCACACAGCTGAGCCAGGGGTCAGCATCCCGCAGGACTCAGGAGAGGCGAGGGGCCCAGGCTGCAAGGCAAGGGAGAAGGAACCATCACTCTAAATCTAAACACAGTGACACATGCTTTTCACACCTTCCCTCTACCTTCACCTGGGTCTGTCTCCCCCTTGGCCTCGTCTCAGGTCACTATCGCAGCTTCTGTGTGGGACTGAGACCCCGTGTAAGGTGAGGCTAATGAGGCAGAACAAGTGGGGGAGGCAGATTGCTGGAGAGTGGGTGCCCTGGAACCCGAATACGGAGGTTCAGTTCCCATCCTGTCACGTTCTTTCCTGTGTGATCTTGGACACATGATGTCATACCCTACACTTCATGCTCCATTGAAATGAAGCGAATGACAGTCCCTCTATCCTGAGATGAGACTTTATGAACAAAGCACCCGGCTAATAACAAGTAGCATTCTGTGTACGCCTATTATTATCATCACCTCTCCTTACTGCTGGGCTTAGATAAGGATAGGACTATGCTACTTATGGGGCCCTGTTGGGTGCCACTGCCCACCTACCAAGCTAGCTTGACCCATCTGACCACATAAGCAGCCCATCCGCTGGGAAGGGCCGCACCTGGTTTCAGACTGGGACCACCTGGATGGAGGCGCGTTTACACCAAAAGGACTAACAGCCCACACCCACGGAGGCGGCATTCACAGAAAGCATCCTTTTTTAACGTAATTGACTGTTGCCGTCTTTCCTCCTCAGGTCCATGACTACCTCCGCAGCAAGTTGTGCTCCCTCTACGAAAACGACTGCATTTTTGATAAATTCGAGTGCGTATGGAATGGGTCAGACAGGTGAGGAAGGCTCAGTGACCGGGAGCCTCCCCAAGGCGGGCCCTCTCCCGGCGGGGGCCTGGGTGGTGTGTTTTCCATGGATGGCAATGTCCAGTCCCGAGGCCTGGCAGGGATGTCTTATGTGGGTTACCGGATGCCCCTGGGTCAGGCCTGGGACGAAGGGAAGGACGTAGGGAGACCCTTGACTCCGCTTTCAGCACCAGCGCAGGTGACCTTTGGACATCAACGAGAAAACCCGATCTTTTACACAAAAGATCCCCTCCCCCCCCAGAGCAAGGCCAGCATGCCAAAATGGAGGGCACTAATGATCCTCCCTCGGATCCCAGCACGAATGGCTCACATGACTGCAAACTTTCCAGATCGAAAATTACTTCTTGAAGCTGCTAGTGTAGGCTTGGCCAAAGGCCCCGGCGGCTCATTAGCGGAATGCCAGCCAGCCCCATTCATCACATTCCCTCTACGTGATTTATTACTGTTTTAAGGCCTTTGATTTCAACAATGCTTCATATTACCTCCCAATAGTTCGTTTTTAGTTTGACACATACAGATGGATCTCCGGGTTCTGGGAGAACTTGGCACAGGCTCCCAGGGGCTGTCCCTGGAGAAGTCAGCACCAGCCCCACAGTCCTGCCCAGAAGCGCAGAAACCCGGCGGTGCCAAAGCCCTCAGAGTCTCAGTGAGCATGAGCTGTCTCTGTCCCTTGTCCAGCCTCTTAGCCAGTGCCCTCCACGCAGCCTGGGATAAATCCCCCAGATGGCGGAGGACCCAAGTGAGACCATCCAGCTGGTGTAGGACGGAGGTGGGGAGGAGAGTGCAAAGAAATGGTGATACATGAACAAAAGCTCCTACAGGGGCAAGAAGCTAGCCAACCCCGTTATCTTTATTTACATATAATGTACTTGATTAATTGTACCTGTTATTTGCATATTTGTTGTCATTGCTCCTCATTCCCCTCTATCTTAGCCTAGATCTAAAAACTACGCTTACAAAGCACCACCTGTGTACCAGGCACCTTCACACACAACATGTTATTTAATGCTGGCCATGGAGTAAATAGCAGGATGCTATGTATGTATGTCATTGAACATAAACAACATAAAAAATGTTAGAAAATGGGACTCCGCCACGTCCTGGGCCCTGTTTGGTGCCATTGTCCACCCACACAAGCTTGTTCAATCCGTCCAGCCCCGTGGTTGGCAAATCGCAGCTCGCAAGCCACTTGCAGCTCTGGCCCCTTGATTATTCTAACACCACTTCTTCAAAATAGACTCGCCCAGCCCAAAAACCAACTTCTGCGCATGGACCACAAAGTTTCAGTCACACTGTACGTGTGCGCCCGCACGTGGTATTTTGTGGAAGAGCCACACTCCAGGGGCCAAAGAGCTGCAGGTGGCTCTCGAGCCCTGGTTTGCCAACCACTGGTCTAGCCACACAAGCAGCTCACCGGCCATCCTAATGTCCCACAGCTGGGAAGGGCCTTGGAGGTCAGCTTTAAATATGCACAGGGTGCCAAAACCGGTTTGGTTCAGTGGATAGAGCATTGGCCTGTGGAGTGAAAGGTCTCAGGTTCGATTCCAGTCAAGGGCATGTACCTTGGTTGTGGGCACATCCCCAGTAGGGGGCCTGCAAAAGGCAGCTGATCAATGATTCTCTCATTGATGTTTCTAACTCTCTATCCTTCTCTCTTCCTCTCTGTAAAAAATCAATAAAATATATTTTTAAAAATAATAAACAAATAAATATGCACAGGGCTTCATGGTTTTCAAAGTGCTCCTGCTTTCCTGACCTTCTCCAGCCTCACAGTTCTGAGCCCGCAATCCTGTGACTCACTGACTGAGCCCCAGAACAGAAAGGAATCTAGAGAACAGAAATAATTAACAAGGAAGTTTACCACCATCCTTAGTTCCAAGCCCAGGGCTTGTTGCTCTTAGTGACTGCAAAGGACACCAGCACTATAGAACCTGTTTGGGTGTTTGTTACCAGGCCACAGAGCTGCGGTGCTTGCGTTAGACAGGCACCAGAGGGGGACGTGACTGCCCTTTCTCCACAGCACTCAGTGGCTCCCTGTTTCCTCTCTGCCTTGCAGTGTCATCATGACCGGCTCCTACAACAACTTCTTTAGGATGTTCGACCGAAACACCAAGCGTGACGTCACCCTGGAGGCCTCGAGGGAAAACAGCAAACCCCGGGCCATCCTGAAACCGCGGAAAGTGTGCGTGGGGGGCAAGCGGAGGAAAGACGAGATCAGCGTCGACAGCCTGGACTTTAGCAAAAAGATCTTGCATACAGCTTGGCATCCTTCAGAAAATATTATAGCAGTGGCGGCTACAAATAACCTATATATATTCCAGGACAAGGTTAACTAGGAGGACAAGTTATTATTAATAATCTCACCTACTGAATACTAGTCAAACACGTTTTTAAATGTTTCTTTTGGGTCTTCATTTGATGCATTGACTTTCCTTTCCCTACACAGAAAACAACTGGGAGGGAATTCAAAGGAGTCCAACTTTCCCATATCCCCAGTTCTAAGACACTTTTGTCCAGCCCAATCGGTCCCGGACACTTCTGTTTAGAATTGAGCGCTGCCAGCTTCCATAGTTGACCTGAATTTCTGATGCTTTCCTTTGCCCAGTTTTCTCTGGTGGGTCCAGTGTTTTGTTGCTAGGTGTCTGCTGAGATAAAATGAAGTTGTCTGTAGTATTTAAAGTGAAAGGGGATACGTTTCTTTTTTTAATTAAACAATTCCCTTTGATTGAAAATTTCAACAAAAAAATAAACACCGTTTACTCTACTCTTTAGAGAAAATGCTCCTTGTTTTGTGGGGATAAAAGAAAAACAGAACTAGTCAGCATCTCCTGCCCCAACAGCATTTTTTTTGTGGGGTTTGTTTTTTGCCATTTTCTTTTTTAACAATTTCATTTGAGCCAGAGATTTATCTCAGAGGCTGTGAAGGGGATGCCGAATGAGAAGGGGAGGGCCCCATCCACACGGCTGTAGTCTCTCTTTTGTAAGCGCCACAGAAAGGGCCTGAGAATCTGGCTGGGAAGCACCACACATGCTCCAGGAGATATAAAGAGGGCGCTTCTCAGGGCGGGCTTGGCCAGTCTGGGGCCAGATTCCCTCGGCCACTCTGTTACTCTGGCTTTTTGTCACTTTAAATGGCTCCATCTAATCCTCTACTTGCACGTTCCCTGGCTCTTTCTCTTCACCCTTTTCCAGCTTGCTTGTTCCATTGACTCCTAAAGGCCGGGGCCTGGTTGGGTATTAGCTGGTGTTCTGCATCAGTGGCTCTAAACCTCCCTAATGCCGCCACCCTTTAATACAGCTCCTCATGTTGTGGTGACCCCCAGCCATACAATTATTTTCGTTGCTATTTCATAACTAATTTTTGCTCCTGTTAATGAATCGTAATGTAAATATCTGCGAGAACCACTTCTGTAGAGCCTAAGACCATCGGAAAACACAGATATTTACATTACGATTCATTAACAGTGGCAAAATTACAGTTATGAAGTAGCAACGAAAATAATTGTATGGTTGGGGGTCACCACAACATGAGGAGCTGTATTAACAGGTGGCGGCATTAGGAAGGTTAAGAACCATTGCTCTACATGAAGCCGGAGGCTGCGGGGACCGGCCCTGGCTCCTGAGCAAGGCTGGCCTGTCCTTCTCGGGGGTGTCTCTGGAGCAGGCCCCCTCCCCTCTTCCTGGGTGTGGTGACCGCAAGGAATAACCCATCCGTCTCCACTGTGGCTAGAACCAACACCGCCAATAAAAACGCTGACTTGTACAGTCTAATCAAGTGCTTCTAGCCCTCCCCACGCTCACCCTCTGCAAAAATGGAATCCGGGCCTTCGACATTAGAGTGAAGTCGGCTTAAACCTGTGGAGGCTGGTTCGTCCTTCCCCCAGGTTGAAGATTCAAACTAAAACTCCCAGAAGGTTCCATGTGGCACACCTCTGGGAAGGAGACACAGTGAATTCAAAGGACTGAAGAGCAAAAGGTCTCAGAATAAGCTGCATGCAAGCAGCATTGTAAGGCAGGTCGCCCACCAGACCACGCATCCTGTGGCGTTTCCAGTGGAGAGAACATCACAGGTGGGTCCAAAGCGAGTGTGGATGCTGCACGGCAGTGTGACATGAATGTCCCTCCAATTCGATTAGCTGGCCTGGCCCTTCTTTTGTTCATCCAATAACAAATAGTTATGAAGCCCCTTCACCCAGGTACGGTGTTTAAACATAAAATAAATAGAATAAAGGGACATCATATATACTTGTTATGTGACAGCCACTGAGTGAGCCACTTTTTAAAACCACCACAACCACTGGATGGATAAATCTATTGTTCCGTCTTGATAGCCGAGAAACAGACTGAAAGGGTTCGGTGGTGCCTTCGCAGGGACACAGCCACAGTCTGATCTGGAGCTGTCCTCTCCCGGGTCTGTGCTTCTCCCACCACGGGGATGGCTAACACGGAGCCGCCCTGTCTCTCTTTCCACTGGTGAGGGCGCTCACCAACACCCCATCTCTCTCCGACCCAATCCTGCCTGACAGCCGCCCAGGAACACACATCTGTCTGTCACCAAAGCAGAGAGTGCAGTCGAGTGGCTCCCAGAGGCCTCCAACCCCTGACCCCAGACCTTTTTATTACCTTTTAACTGTCCCCCAATTTAGATCTTCCACACCCCATTAGCTAAACTGCCGGTGGCCGGACAAGGTGACCTGCCTTCTCTGCCTGTTCCGGCCTTGGAAGCTGTCACATTAATGATCACTGCCAGGCCAGAACCGGGGGCTTAGTGACAGATCCCCAGTCCACTCTTTCCCCGGCATCGCCTGAAAAGCTGCCCTGAGGGCCTGCCTCTGACCCAGCTCAGGCCCCCCGTGTGGTCTGCTGTTTTGGGTTAGAGCGAGAGTGGGAGGAGCACTTCTCTAGAGCTCATCTTTGTGCCGACGCCGGTACCACAGGGAAGTGGGGCCGGCCACTGTCATATTTGTTATTGCTCTGGGCGGCTAACAATACACTCCCTCCCACCCACAATTTTTTTTAATATACTTTATTGATTTTTTACAGAGAAGAAAGGAGAGGGAGAGAGAGTTAGAAACATCGATGAGAGAGAATCATTGGCCAACTGCCTCCTGCACACTCCACCCCGGGGATGTGCCCACAACCAAGGTACATGCCCTTGACTGGAATCGAACCTGGGACCCTTCAGTCCGCAGACCGACACTATCCACTGAGCCAAACCCGCTTCAGCCACCCAGAGCTTCTTGTGCGAGTAAAGAGAACCCCGGGGGAGCTGGGGTAGGAGGGAGGGGGTAATGCTGCCCCACTAGCAGAGGAAAGGTATTTTGGCCCTCCAAACCATCCATCGGTCGGGTGATACTCATGAACGCGGTCATTCATTCACTCAAACGTTTCACGGTCACGTGGGTATTACCTGCGAGCTCTAAGCCGGGTGGTCCAGGGAGCAGGGCGCACACTGTGATGGGAAGGCAGGTTATGTCAGCAGGAGGAGGTTACGGGGCAGAGGCCGGGGCGCCTGCTGGGTGGAACGCTGAGCTCCTCCACGCACAAGCTGGACTCTTGGCAAATCACTTCCCCTCTCTGGATCTCAATTTCCTCAGTGATAACAATAAGGACACCAATGGCACCTACCTCATGAGACTGCTGTGAAGATTGAGTGATTTAGTATAACAGAGTTCTCAGAACGGGGTGTGGGCAACAATGAACAGTGTGTGTTTCTTGCTATTGTTCTCCCAGCTCTGCACACCGACATTGTCAGTGCTGTGACAGCTGCGACAGGGCGCGGGAGAGCAGGAAGCACCCCTCATTCAGAGGAGCGATTCCTAGGGTACACCTGACAGATCAGTAAGGAGTACGTGATCCAGGTGAAGAGAAAGGAAAAAAGCAGAGTCCAGGTGTCAATTTTGTAGATGAAAAAGGGGGGAAAAAAAAGCATGAAGTGTGTGAGAAATATACAATATTCTCATCCTAGGAAAAGCAGGAATGCAGCCTCAGCTGGTGTGACTGTTGGTTTGAGCTTCATCCCAAACACCACAAGGATGGGGTTTCCATTCCCGGTCAGGGCACATACCCAGGTTGCAGGTTCGAACCCCAGATGGTGTGTGCGCAGAAGGCAACCAGTCGATGTTTGTCTCTCACATCGGTGTTTCTATCGCTCTCTCTCTCTCTCCCCCACTCTTTTCTTCTCTCTCTCCAAAAATTAATAAAAGCATGTCCTCAGGTAAGGATTTAAAAAAAAAAGAGAGAGAGAGAAAGAAATCAGAAATACAAGCCAAGAGAAGTAAGGGGACATAAGGTAAAGGGACAAGAACACATGGCATGAGACCTAACGCGCGGCCTCAGTGAGGCTCCCACACGGGGTTCTCCAAAAGCCAGGCCATGAGCCGCTTGGTTGAGAGATTATGGTTCCCATCGCTTAGCAAATGCACATAGTTCGGGCACAGTACATGTCCATAAACTCAGCTCGGTATCGCCTCCTCAGAGAGGCCTTTCCTGACCACCCTAAGGCCTGAAGTGTTCAGTCCACTCTCATCTCCCCAGAGCGAAGAGAAGTGTTGGCACACAGTAGGTGCTCGATAAACATTTGTTGGCAGAATGAATACATAAGGGAGGGAGGGAGGGAGGAAGGGAGGGAGGGAGGGAGGGAGGGAAGGAAGAAGACAGGCGCAGCCTTTGCCCTCAGGAAGCGAAAAGATGAGCAGGGAGCTTGAGTGATGGGGACCCTGGTACCCGGCATCACAGCGCTGCCCAGAGGAGCGGAGGAATTGAAAAGGAAAGGTGGGGAGCCAGGGAGCTGGGGTATGTTAAGAACAAGCAGCAGGGCTCAGGCAAGTGTCCCTGCTGATGCATCGCCCGTCCAGCAGCAGTCAGTCTTCTGGGACCCTGCAAAGCGTGCAGAGAGGCTGACAGCTCACAATCAATACCATGCTCACCGATGCAAGGAGCAACATGATCACATCCAAGATGTTGCCCCCACATCCCGCTCCAGCACTAAATATTCCCCGTAACAAGGCTAAGGGGAGTGACAAGAGCTATTATTTTCAACCCTCCCCCTTGGAAGCAAGAGGTAAGGCAGACCTTTCCCTGGGTGTTCTTAGGGGAAAGCAAGCTAGTCCCCCCAAGAAATTGCTCGAAGCTGATCCCAGGCCTCATACAGCAAGACAGGGGTGCGAGAAAATTGGCATTTCCACTTTGTCCGGGTGTCCACGATATAGAAGGGGAGGCTCTGTGGGCAGCTGAGGGGGAGTGGAGATGGTCCCCCACACACAGCCAGGTTGGTAGGGAAAGTGTGAAGGGTGGATGCTGGGCTGTGTTCTATGTGCCCAAGTCCCTCTAACAA